GATGCTACGCTGTCAGACCCGCCGTTGCCGCCCCTTTTGCCAGAGCGCAGCGTGGGCGGTTGGTCTTCGCAGTAGCTCTCGTCGTGGGATATGGCAGCATAGCCACCCATACCCCCTCAGCAAACGTTTCTTCCAAACGCATGTCTGTCACCTTATAGTCTTACAGGCAACCCATCCTGTTTGAGTGCTGTCTGTCGGTTTTTGAGTATTAACGCGGAAACATGCTGCTGTCTCACGAGCCACCTGAGCACAATAGACGACCGACAGGCAGCGGTTGTCCTCAGAGTTCAATCATATTTGCATACAACTGGGATACAGTATCCAGCCACTTCGTGTAGAGATATGTGGAGGGTCTACAATCTCTTTCTCTTACCTGAGCCTGCTCCCTCTGGCCTGCCAGTCGGGGCACTGGGCAGACGAAGACCGACGAGCTTAGCTGCCCTTTTAATCGAATCATCTCTATCCTTCTGCTCGGACACTCCGTACTTCTGGTACAGCGAGTCGACACTGTCGATTACGTGTAGATATGCAGTCAGCTGCGCCAGAGCCACTGGGTTCTCTCGTGCGACCGCGGCGGCGTGGCCGGCCAAACGTTCAACATTTCCCTCAGCAGCACTCTCCACTCCGCCAGGTAGCTCAGACCCTTTTGTCGATGCAGAAGGAAGCGAATTGCAAGGGGGACTAGAGTTCCCCTGTGACTGCCTTTGTACAACACTTCGCAGGGAGGTCCGGAATGCACGCACCAACGCGGCCATTTCGGAGGTTATCCGCCGGAACGCGTGGAAAAGCTCACGTATACACTGGCAATATTTAATAAGTGATGAGCTTCACGTGCCTGAAATGCATCAATAACGCCTCGACGAACGGCAGGAGGGTGCGTAGCGACTCAAGGGCTCTGCGTTCCCATCTCCCTTGCCTCGAAGCTTAGAAATAATCTGAAACGTGTCATTAAATCCGCATCAAAGAGTATGAACACGAAATGTAATTGCCCCTTTTCAAGTAGTACTACAGTTTTCTGAACAACACANCATCAAAGAGTATGAACACGAAATGTAATTGCCCCTTTTCAAGTAGTACTACAGTTTTCTGAACAACACAGCATGCATATGTCGTCGGCAGCTTCCGTTATGTGGACGACGGATCGATCGTTTGGGGATGATGCAGCCCTTGACAACATAAACATTTCCTTCAAGCATCAATTTTACTTGATTAAATGCCGAAACGATGGAGTTTTCCTTCCTTGGTGACTGAATATAACTCGCTGACTTCACGGCGACGACCGCCAAATCGACGAGAAGTTCAGGAAACGGCAGCGGTGCCAACTTGATTCCGTATTGTTCTATTTTTTCACATTGAAATGATGTTATCCCAGCTAGCGACGACCTCTGCGATCCCCTTTACTGTGACCGGTGCCGTTAAGGCATCCTTGGGCAGCTGTCTGTAGGCCACTTGCTGCTGTTGCATCGCTGACACAATTTCACCCTTTTCTCCTGCTGTGGCGGCATCTATGGTGTAGAAGGGAAGCCTGAAAATGCAGATGGCAGATGGGGAGGACGCAGGAGTGCAAGCGTCGAGTGCATCCGTGGACAGTTCTCAGGAAGTG